ATCCTCCTGCCTCAGCTTCCCAAGAACTGGGATTATAGGTATGCATCACCTTGCCTGGCAAAACTGTTTTCTAAAGAAAAAAATCTTCACAAAGCTCCTGTTTCTCATGTAGGTATAGGGAACAAGTTGGCCATCAGTTTTACCCTGTCCTTATTCATAGCACAGCACAAAAACCATATGATCCACAGGACTGCAAAGCTGCGCATGCACCAATTTCAAGGTGACATAAAGTATCACATAACCAATTATGGGAAATAATGAAATGGAATATTAGTGCGGAAAACCTCTGCAGAGAGTGTTCAAACAAGGAATCAATTGCTCAGGAGCAGTGTTAAAACTACAATCATTCAGGGAGTCCACCCAGGGGTCTTTAGCAAAGGCCAGCAGTTAGAGCAGACCTGTGGGGCACTGGGAGAAGGGTCCAGGCACTATTATTAGAGATCTTCTTTTTGAGCACATGAATAGCACAGCATATAAAAAAAGAAGTGCTAGTTATGGGAAGCAAACATGATCCATTTTACTTATTTGCACAATTTTGAAGGAAGCAGAGGAAATGGAAAAGATGCAGATTCTAGAAGTGTATCCACAACATTCTAAAAGAAAAGGTGTTCTTTGTTTTATTTTATTTCTTTACGGGTACCAAAGTTTTATTAAAGGTAGGAAAAAGTTGGCTCTTAGAGTGAGTTTGGGCCAAGTAAAAGTAGGAAAAGTGTACCCTACAGCATGCACTGTAGCCCAATTTTTATTTTATGCTTTGAACATGATTTAATTGTGGCAAACTCTGTTACCATGTGATACAAGAAATGCAGGGACCATGTAATGTAAATGAATAGGAAAGCCTTGCTGAGATATAGAGCCAGGAAATATGCTTCTCCTTAATGTCCACTTGCCTTTTCTTCTCCACTTAGACAGAAAATACTCTCTTGGTGCTTTCAGTTTTCTACCTCCAAAAGGAGGATCATAAATTTCCTTGCTGTCATTATGCTGCAATCCCTTTATGCATCCATAAATGGACTTAACGAGCATCTCCTCCCCACCCACATGGAAATTCTGTGTAGCATTAACATGTGTGGTTATGGTTTCTGGAGAAATGATCTCAAAGTACAACATTTTGGGCTTTCTTGAAAGGAATGGTAAATAAATAACTATGCTTGATTATAGGATGAAAAATGAATGAAATCAGATTCTCATCATAGACTAATAAGTCTGAAATAAGATACTGTATGAGAATATAATAAAACTCAGAAGGGCAAAGTGCACTTATTATGAATTCCTCCTTACCTCTGAGAGGAGCGTTCCAGGCATCTGCTCTGAGTGCTGAGACGTGTGCATTGCTGGGTCACCAGGCCACAGCTCGTCAGGTCAGCTGTGTGCAGAGAAGGGTTGGGTAAGGCTACGTGAGCAGCTGTGTGAGGACCCGGATGAGCAGCATCACCCGATACTCTGCAGACCACCCTGTAAGGAGGGACATGAACTTGGGCTGTCAACTCAGCCACTCGATAGTGGTCAGCTGAGTCTTCTCCCCAGTGGAAGTCATTGTCACACAGGTGGGGACTATAGTCACACTGCTTACTGTGTGCCCCAGAGCACCTACACATACCAAGTATTTGGCTCTGGAAACATGGCTACTGGCTGAACAACATTATTTTCATGAGAACAGTCTTACTGGTTTGTGTGTTTCTGATGGCAATAGCTTGGGGGTTTCTTTTGCTAATCATGAGACTTAGATGGTAGCTTTAGTCTCTGCAATTGCTTTTTTTCCTTCCACAAAGAACTTTCCAGTGTGGAGTCTCTGTCTGTTATTTTTCATTTGTACATGGGCTTTCTCACCTATTATCTCACAGAAAGACCCGCTTCACACATTTTTAGGTGAGAAAATAATGCTCGAGAATTAAGTGACTCAGCCAAGCTCTCACAGACAAAGGGTGAAGATCTGTGCCTCGAGTCCTTGCTTTCTTCCATGCTCAATGTTCTCCTTCCACGACCTCTTACCCCCACGAAAGTGTTAGTGGCAACTACCCAGAGTCCAGCGACGGTCTCTTTAAAGTGAACTTGTCCTGATGAATCTGATCATTAAGTACTGTGCATATGTGCTAGTAAAGATTAAAAAGTTAATTTATTAAAATGATTGAAATTTAGTCTAGAAAATGTTAGGGCTTTTATTTATTTACTTGTTTAGTTTTGCAGTACTAGGGATATGAACCCAGGGTTTTCACATTGAGCTATGTCCTTAGGGCTGTTTATTTTTCATTTTGAGACACAGTCTTGCCAAGACTCTGCTCTAAGACTCTGCTAAGTCTTATTAAGTTGCCCAGGATTCGTTCAAACTTATGATCCTCCTACCTCAGCCTTCCAGAGTGCCGGGATTTATAATACATGCACTAAGATAAAAATTCTAGGGCCCCTGGATGTAATTTGGAGACAGCCTAAATCTTGAGAAGAAAGAGAATTCTTTAGGAAAGACCAGATACTTCTCTAAGACCCCATTTTTCTCTCTTTTTGCCCTTCCAATCAGATTTTATTGGTACAACTTAAATATAGGTCATGATCACATTCATCATGGAGAATGTGTTCCTGTACGTGATATAACTTGTTTTCCCCTTCTCCTACCCTCCCTTCATCCCTTTCTCTCCCTATTTCCAAAAGCTTTGTTTCCATTTTTTCCTTTACTCATTTTTTTCCTTTTCCTTTCCTTTCTTTCCCCTTCCCCTCTCCCTGTTCCCCTTCCCATTCGAACATTTTTTTCCTATTTCACATTATCTATTATACATCTTGGTCCTTATTTACACTTTTAGTTTCTCATGCCAAAGAAACAATGTGGCAAGGTGTCCAGTTTATTTCACTTAAGAGTATGTCATCAGGGTGTGTCATTTCCCCAGAAATGCCTTTAGTACATTCTTCTTTATGGCTGAGTAGTACTCCACTGTATATTTTTAAAACCACATCTTTATCCATTCACTAGTTGATGGGCACTTGGGTTGTTTCTAAGATTTGGCAATTACAAACTGAGCTGCTGTAAATATAGGTGTGAATATATCACTGTGGCATGCTGATTTTAATTCTTTTGGAAAGATACCCAGGAGGGTAGTGACTGAATCAAAAGAACCTGTGGTCCTAGTTTTTTGAGGAATCTTCACACTGATTTCCAGTGTTTGTACCAGTCCACACTCCCCCAACAGTGGAGAAGGGTTCTTTTTTTTTGCCACAGCCCCACCAGCATGTGTTATTGGTTGATTTCTTGATAATGGCTATTCTTTCTGGGGTGAGATAAGGCCCTATTTTCTCATCTGAAAATTGAATGTAATGGTACCAGTTCTGCTATCTTCAAAAGGATATTCTGCCATTCAAATATAAGCTAATGCACAACACTTGCTAAAGATATTCCACAGCACACAAACTTCAGGTGTTAGTCTTACTAACTTACAGTCTACATCTAAACAGGGCTTGGGTATACCAGGTTTTTGCTGGGTTTAAACCCCAAAGAGAAGAGTGAACTGTTACAGAAAGCCATGCAAAGGGCCGGTATTCTCTGCACATTTACACCGTGGCTGTGTGGACTGCACATGAGATAGGTTTTGTTCTGACTGAATGCAGACTTCCTGGAGGAAAGGTGGCACCCACACAGTGTGCCCGCTGTGGCACAGCAGCTCCCATTCTCATCTTCACAGCTGTCCTGGAAAGGGGAATCTCTTCTTGGTCCACGTTTTTAGGTGACCATGCTGAAGTTTAGGGAGTTTGTGGTAAAATTGTCTGAATCATAAAAACAGGTGCAGGTCAACACCAGCAACACGCTTGGCCGTTGTCCTGTTCAGATGGCAGCGCGGTCGCCCTCAGGCAACACTGGGGACACAGTGGTGGTGCTCTGGCTCCAGAAGCCACTGGGGCTTCTGTTTTAATTTTCTTTTTTTCCTTTCACCCTCTCCATTTGCCAGATGGCAAATATTTAAGAGAGGTGATCAAAAAGCATGGTGAATGCACATTTAGTTAAGTCCCACAGCGGTTAATCCTCCTCAAAATACTCACTTTCATTTCAAACTCATTTACCCATGCTTCTTGCCACTTTCTGAAGCAGGTCTGGAAACTCCCCTCTTGTGAGTGTGTTTAAATTGTACTGTCGGGGATGCCTCAGAGCTCTGACTTGATTCCAAATGTTACAGTGATTTCTGTCACATAGAAACATGGTGGCATGTCCTCAGGTACTTCATTCACCATATCTGGCACTGGGTGACTTGTGGCTCTTCCCCAAAGTCAAAATGACTGAAAGATCATCATTTGAATCTGTTCAGAACATCAAGGTGGCCACAGCAATGCAAGTGAAGACACAAAAGGGCTTCCAGAAGTACTTTAGGAAGTGGAGAGAATCTTGAAAAAAGTGTATTAAAAGCAAGTTAGAGTATTTTGAAGGCGATTAATGGCCATGTGTCTTTTACACTGATTTTTAAATTTTACTTTATTCAGTCTTACTATATAGTTCAGGCTGGCCTCAAATTTTTGTGGTCATCCTTCTGCCTTAGCATCCAAGTGTTAGGATTATAGTCATGCAACACTGTGCCCTGCTGATAAATTAATAAACAAAACAAAAACATTTACTGTGTTTTTTACCCACCTTGGTACAATTTCACTTTAGCATACTTTCAGATACAAGAGCGTTGGCTGCTTGGGGCCATTCTAATGTGGCTGTTGTAGACAGGGTAAAGCACTCACACCTCCCACAACTGTAATAGCCCTGTTAATGCTAAATGCACCAATCTGATGGAATACCTTTTCCTAGAGCTCATGGATTATAAACACCTAGCTTTAAGTACTCATACGTTTCCCAAAAAGTACTTTGCTAAATAAAAATAATGATTTTCACTAGCAGTGTGATGAATTCTGAGCACCTGTACTTTTGGTGATCATTGGTAGAGATTTCCTTTACTTAGTGTTTGCTCTCTCATCTGGCATACAGTATTATGCAAAAACAAAAAGGTCGTGGCTAACCATTCCTTTTTCTATTACAGGTTGATGACCAAATGAAGCTGCTTCAGAATTGCTGGAGTGAGCTCTTAATCCTTGACCACATTTACCGACAAGTGGTGCATGGGAAGGAAGGGTCCATCTTCCTGGTTACTGGGCAACAAGTGAGTATAGTCCACCCCCACCCCCACCCCGCCCCCAGCACCTTGTTATTAAGCATGTCCAGAATGGCAGGAATGTAACTAGGTCAGAAGCACTCTTAGGCTTTGAAAGGAAGAGATTGGCTGCAAGTAATTTAGAAAAGATGACCTGGTACACTCAGTTCCTGCTCTGATGATTACTGATAAACTTGTAAAAGCAAACATAATCGTGAGCTTCGGTTGCTACTTCCAGTCTGTGGGGATGGAAAGTTCTGCTTCCAGAGGTCAGAAAAGTTGCTAAGTCAAATTCAGTGGTTAGTACTGAGTTTTTCCTCGTGAGCTTCTGCATTAACCTGCCCTGTGTGCTTGCTGACAATTTCAAAACCTTAAAATCTGTAGAGTCCTTCACTATGTTGGAATGATATTGGTGGAAGATTGAGTCAGATGTTACCTACAGTCAAAATAATTAATATAAAAACCAGCACATCTAGCTTTCAAGAACCAGCCATTCAAAAAGAAAAAGTTATCATTAAACTGTACTACTTTTTTTTATATTTTGTTCATTCAAGAAAGATTTATTGAACATTCCGTTGTGTACTAGTCACTGATTTAGGGAATTGGCATATGTTAGTGAACAGAAAAAAGAAATCTGCCTATGTTGATAAGCTGACAATCAACAACTTAATAAACACACTGGGCATGGTGACTCATGCCTGTAAGCTGAGGACCCTGAAGGCTGAGGCAGGAGGATTGTGAATTCCAGGCAAGTCTGGGCTATACTGTAGTAAGAATTTGTCTCAAAAACAAAAAAGAAAAATAAATCTTAATTAAACGACTCTGTAATATGTTAGAGGCTGAAGTCCTAGGGAAGGATAGAGAAGGGAAAGCAAGGGAAGGGGAAAAAGGAGAAGAGAGCAGAGGAAAGGGAAGGAAAGGAATCAGGAGGTAAAGGGGAATCTGTACATACTCATGGATGTGTGTTGTGATATGACCCATGAGTCACAGTAGATATTTTGTTTCTATGTTTTATTTTTTGCAGTGTCAGGGTTCAAACCCGGGACCCTGCACTTGCTAAGAAAGCACTTTGCCACTGAGCTACACTCCCTGCCTCTTGGATTGCAGTGTTAAACAGGAGTGGCCATTAGCCCTGCTGAAGAGGTGACATTTGAGCAAAGACTTAAAGAGGGAGACACTATGGAGATAATCTCAGAAAAGAGAGAATCTGTTTAACAGACCTAATATCAGCTGTGCAGGCTACGGACAGATCCTTCCCGCTTCTTCCCCTGTATTCTGCAGCTGATGGATTAGTGGATCCCCATGACTGCTCAGTCTGTCAGGCCAGCCCTGTGCAGGCCACGACCGCCTTGTTCAGCGGCAGTGACTACAGTGCTAGCACTGTGATCTTTTACGTCCAGCCATAAATGTTTATGTGCCGTGAAACCACAGTGGTGCATATTTGGAGATGAAAAGCTGTCTCCACACCATTTGCTGTATTATTAATAAATCACATTTTCCCAATCAAATTAAAGGCAAGCTCTCTTTCGGAGTTTTTGCAGATTGGATCAATTCAACCGTCTCCCATCACTATCTGGTCTTGGCTCTCCCAACCTCTCTGAGCAAAGCTCTCTAGACATGCTGTGCTTTCCAATTGTGTGCAGCATTTTTATCCCGAGACCCAAGCTTTGGAGGCCATGTACCCATTGTCAGAGTCTAATCACTGGGGTCCACACCTCCACCTCCCCTCACCTCGGCCCTCTGCAACCTGCATTAGAAGCACAAGACTCAGCTCACAAATTAATTCAATTTCATTTCCTTCAGAGTTTTAAGGAATAAAATGGGCTTGGACCTTTCCATTCCTGCTCTTTAGAAATATTTCTTCACATTTCATTTTGCCTTAAGTGCTGACCCTGGGTAAAGGTAATTACGATGGAAGAAGTAGAGAAAAGTGCATTTTGTTGCTTCTCTGATTTTCAAAAACGGAACAATCAAGGACTAAGTAGTATCATAGTCTTTAGGATCAATTATTTCTCTTTGTGTGTTGCACCAGAAGAGAAAGAGGGACTGTCCCACTAGAAAACTAGTCTTCCCTGCACACCTTTTTCTATACCCTAAATCTGCCAGCTCCCTTCTTCCCTAAGGTGCTAGAGTTGTGCTACAATCCAGGCAGACTGCTCACCTACTGATGACACCTTGCCATCAGATGTTCTCATTTAGAGTAATTATGGAAGAAATCTTTTTCCTTGGTGAAACAGGCTAGTCAAGGCATTTTGAATGCATATACAGACTTTCTGAAAATGTATATAATGAAGCTAGAAATGCTCCAAATGAAAACTTTTTCAAAGCGTGTGACTTTTCCAACAGAATGAGAAAGATGTCTGATTTTTTTTCTCCTTCCTGGAGATTGCTCCCAGAGCTTCATTCATGGAAGCATATACAAGCAAACCTCCAACACCCAAAAGCCATTTGAAAGCAGGTTGATTCAGATGTAGCTCTTACAGCCCCAATCTATGGAGTATATTAGGCAGATGCTGAATAATGCTGATTGATTATACTCAGTGACACTTATCGTGGCTCTACCTCAATGCTTAACTCAGACTCAGGGCCCCCAGGACCACCTTCGCTGTGTCCCCATGCTTAACTCAGACCCTCTCTTCCTTTCAACTTACTCTCGTGGCTCTGGGATACCAACAGTGTTTTCCAGTAAAAAATCACCTTCCTGCTGCCGCAGTCCATTCTTACAGTTGTGAATAGTTCCATGATGATAAGGACAGGGACACTAGATTTTTAATCAAAACAGCGTCAGGAACACTAATTTTTTTTTGGTACTGGGAGTCAAAACTGCAACCTTGCACTTGCCAGGCAGGTGCTTATGCCACTGAGCTAAGTCCCCGGCAAGTAACACTAATATTAAATTATTTGGTGTACATACCAGTTACAAGAAGGTAAGAAAGGAAGAGCATGTATCAAGTGTAAAAGAGCAATATTCTAAAAAAGATTATTTTGAAAAACAAATATATGGAAATAATGAAAAGGGAAAGAGAAAACCATTTCTCATTGCCATTTGTAAAGCCCACTAATAACTGAGCTGAGGGCCTGGGAATTTAGCTCAGCAGCATAAGGGCCTGCTTGGCAAATACAAGGTTGTGAGTTTGATCACCAGTACCTATTACCACCAAAAATATATATATGCAACTGAGCTATAGGTAGACGTGTTCTTGTCACTAGCACAGACTGCTTGCTCTGGGTCTAAAATGGTATGTGCACACTTAAGTGTGAAATATCATCTGTAGTCTGGTTTGAAGCCAAAACCCTGTGTCTGTGTTCCCATGCAGAATCAACTAACTTTGTCATCCCATGTGAGCAGGTATCTTTTACCTTTCAAGCTTCTGTGTCCTCCGCTGTCCCGTGGAGATGTAACACTGCCCACAGGAGAGAATTATGGGATAGCGTTCTGTAAAGTGCTGACAGTGAGCGTTGGAAGTCACCCAGCTCTAGACTGACACAAGTCTGACATTACTGAAGTCAACTACCTGATAAAGACAATATTACAGCTTTTTGGAGATGAAGATTCAAGATAAAAGGCGATGAAGGAATTGATTCAAGGTCAAAACTCACACTCTAGTCTAGGCACTCTGGCACCCCACCGGGATTTTGGTTTTGCTTAGTTTTTCAGATAGGCTCTGAATATGCTGCCCAGGCTTATCTCAAACTCCTGGGTTCACATGGTACTCCTGTCTCAGCCTCCTGAGTATACTGCATCTTAGAATTTGTATTCAGGCTGACTTTGAACTCATTTTTGTATTCTTAACACCCTTTACTATTTTTCTGAGTAGCTCACAGATACCACATAGCTTCTCTTTGCCACAGGCTTGTAATTTGGTATTTCTATATAATTTATTTCAGTGTGCGAGAGCCTCTGTGGATTCTAAACACAATAATCTTTTTCTCTACTGTTGAAAATAAATGCATGAATTTTTTTGTGGGTTTTTTTTTGGGGGGGGGTGATTTTTTTTGCAGAGGAGCATTTTAAACACACCATAATGGTAAGTTTAAATTTCCCAGAAACAATTTTAATGTGATCACTACTTACTTTTGTGATGCCACTTTAGCATTAAGAAAGAAATTAGTAATGAAACACTCTGGGTCACCTGGACTGGCCATACATCACTGATTTTATTTGTTAATTACTATTTTTATTTATTTTTTACTATGAATCAAACTCAGGACCCTCTCCTTGCCAAGCAGAGACTTGGGCCACTGAACTAAATCCCCAACTCAGCACTGATCTTTCGTGGGCCTTTTCTCTATCAGGTATATGGCCAGGCTCTGCTCTGTTTCCTCTCACCACTTCTCTTAGATAAATAAGGCTGTGAACCCCTGGCACTTGGTGACACACTGTCCTCAGTCAGCTGGGTGGTTAATTCTTTTGTGTTTATGTGGGTGGAATCTATGGCTTTTGAGAGGGTTGCAAGAGCCAAGAAGTCGTCCTTTGGCTGTCTCAGTCAAAACAGCTGAGTGAACACACAAATTCTGTGGTGGAGGGGCACACGGAAAATGCCCTTCTCTGTCAGTTTTCTTTAAGAAAAGCAGTTTTCTTTAGCAAAAGCAACATTAGCCTGTGGAAATTATTAGAAAGCTGAGGTCCAAGTTTCCTTGTGGAGAAAGATCCTTTAGTTTGATCATCAACCACCATCTCTTCCCAAATTAGTTAAGATATTTGATGACTAAATAACTCATTGGTTATGCTGTGGCTACTTAGGTCACTGAAGTCTGTAATTTATGTTTAATTTGTTGCTTTTTGTATTTGCAATTTTATGACATTCAAAATTTTTGTGTTCTTTTAATTAATTTTTTGCACAATGCTTTTGCTCCTTTGTTTTTAATTCCATACAGAGTATTCAACTCTTGCAAACACATTAAAATAATTGGCCTTCTAGGCTAGGGTTTTTAAATAATTGAAAAAAAATGAGTTGGGGTGCAGCTCAGTGGTGGAACATGGGGTTAATGTGCACAGGGCACATGGG